TGTGTGTGTGTGTGTGTGAGTGTGTGTGTGTGTGTGTGTGTGTGTGTGTGTGTGTGTGTGTGTGTTTGGCAATATCTTCCACTCAGGAGTGTAGCATCCATGTGGTCATCATGACATGGCTTTAGGGTCACTGTGTATTCCCACACGCCCACTGTGTCCTTGCACAAGGCAATTGGGCAACTATTCAACCCCTACACACATCCCTTCTGGCCAGTATCCAGACCCTGGTATAAGGCCTCTGGTGGCACCCAGCTGCTCCAACTTTCCCCCAAAGATCCAGAGAGTTTCAGAAACTTCCCCTCCTGATTCCTTACAGGGCCCCAGCTTCCTCCAGAGAGCGAGCAGCTGGTGAGTAAACAGAACTCTCCCTGCCTGGCCCAAGGGTAAGTCCAGAGTCCCCAGGCTGCCACAGACCAGTCGGCTGCTTGTTTGTTAGAAGAGGCCTCAAGTCCCTGGGAGCAAGCCAGGCTGGGAGTCACAGAAGCTTTAGTACTTAGTATGAAATGCTGGGGCTGAGGATATAAATCACCCCTGCAACATTTGCCTGGCATGTTCAAGGCCATAGGCGCAATTCCCAGCACCTCAAAAAGAAAAAAAAAAACAAAACAATTAAGAGCAGAACTCCAGGTGTGTCCCCCAGTATTGCTTCCTCCCAGTGGGGACAGAGTATGGCAAGCAGTGTGACCAGGCTGCCTCCAACAACCTGCTAGGGCAGGGGTGCTAGATACCAGGCCTGATCCTGGTGGCTTGGGGACGATGCTTCTTCACTTCTAGAGTAGAACAGAGGACCCCCCAGGACGGCAGCACTCCCACCTCCATGTGACAGGAAGTCTGTGGACAAAGCAGAGTTTCTAGCAGCACTGGGGGGGGTCACTGCAGCTTCTTGGGGGGGTGGCAAAGATATGTGGGTTCCAAGAGGCTTCATGGTAGGGTCATCCGAGGACAATGAGTTCTCGATGGCCCATTTTGTAGACTTCAGACCAGGGAGGTCGGCTGGGAGACTCTCATTGTAGACTCCCTGTGGTACAGAGTTCTGTGTGATGGATGCAGGCTGTCACAGGGCCAGTGGTAACGAGCAAGCATCACCCCTTTAACTTCCCTTTGCCTCAGGAGTAGGACCAACAGGTGCTGTATCTGTTCCCACAGGGGGCCATGTGGACAGCAACTGAAGGCTGGTAGCATGTCAGTAAAGCCATCACTTGAGACCCAGGGAGGGAAGGCAGGGCACAAGAGTATGGGCAAGGTGTCTTCTCCCTTGGCAGACACTAGCCTGACAGCGAGTGCCCACTCCTGGGGCACAAGAGCCAATGCTCTTGGCAGCAGCTGAAGGCTTCTTTCTGGGCTACCACCGGATTCTGGGGCCTTAGTTCAAGCCACATTAGCTTCCCAGCTTGGAGCTAACCTGGTCTCTAGGGAATACTCAGCTGCTCTCTAGCCCCAGCTAACACTGGGCATCACTTCTCAGAGACAGTCGTGGGCTCGTGGTCCTCTTTTCCTCCTTCCTCCACTGAGAACATGACCTCAGTGCAGCTGCCCAGAGGTGGCTCTGTCTCCTGCTCAGGGTAGTGAGGGGTGTGATCCACTTCCAATTCAGCTTCCCACTCAGGCTCCGTAGACCCTGCTGGAGCCCGGCCCTCAGGGACTTCGGTCTTTACAGAGCCCACAATCACTGTGTCAGCCTTCATGATGTAGATTTTCTCTGTAAAGCAAGAGGATGGGTGAGGGAGGCGAAACCAGGGCCTCAGCTACTTCCACCTCACCTGCGGGGTGACTTCAGACAGCTCACACAGCCTCTCCTGCATACAGAGGTTTTTTGTGGGGCCACCCATGGTTTCATAGGTATGTCATCAGAGACCAGCGGAGAGAGAATGCAGTCAGTCCAGGAAATAAGCAGTAAAAGAGGCCAGGATAACAAGAACAGCTGGGGACACAGCTGAGCCACAGGTGTCCCCGACTATTCTCAAGCCAGCTCTGAGGCCCAGCATTCCCACCCTCCCCCACCACCATCCATCTGCTGCATGGCTAAGAACCTGAGGCCTCCCCAGGGTTGGCAGGTAAGGTTTGGAGACACCTCCAAAGAAACGTCCAGCCACCTGGCTGCCCTTTCCTTTCATCCACACACTAGGTGACCAATGTGACCCTGTTTGCCTGGGACTGATGGTCCCATGTCCCAGGAGCCTCTTCAGTCCAGGCAAACTTGGCTGGTTGGCAATGCCCTCCAAAGCCTGGGTCCTGACAATGTGCAACAGTGGGCTCTGTGTTTCTGTGGGCCAGCTCCTGAGCCTCACTGCCAGCCAGCAGGGTGCACGATGAATGCCAAGTGGATGGATAACCCAGTCCCCGACACTAGGGCATGCTACAGTCCTCAGCACAGGCTCATGGGGTGGGGGGTGTTGCTGGAATGGCCCTCCCACAGAGGCAGTCAGGGAGCCTTGGGGAAACAAAGCCATTTGCACTGGGAAGCAGAAGTCTGGACTCTGAGAAGCAGCTGGCTCTACTCACTGGGCATGGCACCTACAGCTTCAGCTGGGTGCTGCATCCCCCTACCCCCGTCCTGTAATGGACTCTGCAGATGGGAAGGGGAAACTCAAAAAGGAACTTATGAGTGGGGATGGGTGGAGGCAGGGGGCACATGGACCCCTGCCTCCCGGTTACACCCTCAGATTCAGGAAGCCCAGAAGTCTCTCAGATGCCCTGCCATGCCTGAGGGCATTGCACCATGCCAGTTCTTCTATTTTGGTTTCCCACACACCCAGGAAAGACAGAAGTATAGGAAAGAACAAGAAGTGGAGGCAAGGGCAAGAGAAAGAAACAAACTGTGTGTCCCATGGTTCCATAGCCAAGAGCAGGGCCTCAGCGCCCACCACGTCCTCCATCAAGGTGTGCTGGAACCCTCATCTGAGAGGCTAGCCACAGATGGGAGCCAGGCTGGGCCTGGCGACACAGACCTGTAAATCTGGAAAAGCTGAGGCAGGAAGGTAGCAAGTTCAAGGCCAACTAGGGCTACAAAGTGAATGGTTCAAAGCCAGCCTGGGTAACTCAGTAAAATTCTGCCTCAAAAAAAAAAAAAAAAAAGTAAAAGGGAGCTGGGGGCTTGTGCAGAATAGTATGCTTGCACCAGCAGCAATGGGACACCACCTGAGGATCAGAAGTTCAAGGTCATCCTTGGGTGCAAAGCAAGTTCAAGGTTACCCTGGGATACATGAGACCCCCCCATCTTCTAAAGGCCAAGGAGGTTGCCAAGCAGGCACAGCGCTGGCTACACAAGCATGAAGACCACATTTCAGATCCCCAGCAGCCATGTAATGCTTGGGTGAGTGTGGCAGCAGTCTCTATTAGCAGCGTGTGGAGGGCAGAAATGGGACCCCTGAGCAAGCTGGCTAGCGAGACCAATTGCATCAGTGAGCTCTGGGTTCAAGTGAGAGACCCTGCAGCAAGACGAAAGGTGGAATGCAATCAGGATAACCAACGTCAACCCCCCCCCCCGACACACACACATACCACACGCTCAGTTTTTTAATTTAAAACAGAGATGGGTGGGCTATAGTTCAGTAGTGGGGCACGCCCCTAGCATGTAGAAGCCACCAGATTCAATCCCTGGTACTAAAAAAGACAGATGGGACCATAGGTCAGGTGCTGGGTTCACCTGAGAACAAGCCAGAGAAGCAGACAAAGGAGAGACGAGGGGCCAAGAGAGATAAGGGGCCAAGGATTTGGTGCCTGACGCCAAGCCAAAAACCTGAGTTCAATCCCCAGGATTCACATGGTTGAAGCAGAGAATTCACTCCCCACCTAAAAGTTGTCCTCTGACCTCCACACTCACGCAGCGGCATTCATAAATACATAAAGTTATACCTATGACAGATGAAGCATGGTGACGAGACAGATAAAGTAATTGCTGCCTAACCCAAAGACCTGACTTTGATCCCTGGGACCCACATAGTGGAAAGAGAGAACTGACACATGCAAGTCACTCTCTGACCTTTTTTTTTCCACGCATACTGTGACAGATGTGTGTGCATGTGTGTGAGTGCACACACAATAAATAAATAAATAAACAAATATTTAAGAGAAAGAGATGAGGCATTGGAAAGGAGAGGCAGGGGGTCACAGCCAGGGAAGGAGGTTTAGACCCATTTGTCCTTGTTGGGAACTGAATGGGGAGGCTGCTCTTCTGGTGTGTCACTAAGAGGACAAAGGTCATCAGAGTCCTGGTGTCCCAGGGGACCTCCAAGGCCTTCCCTCGGCAGCCCCACCCCCATACCCAGCCTTTGCCACCTCCCTCCCTGTACAGGCTCTGGCCCTGTCTCCAAGTTCCAAGCCCTTCGGTCATCTTGGACCGAAAGGCCAGAAGGACTTCTTGGGAAACTGAAGGCGCCTTTGGCAGTGTTTTCCCAAACACATTCTTTGCAGCTAGAACTTACCGAAAGCAATGACTGCAAACATGGCTGTGAGACAAAACAGCCCTAGAGGCTCTCACCTCCACAGACTGCCATGGAAATGTGAAGAACTCCCTTCCAGCATCATGGCAGGGTCTGCAACACTCAGAGAAGGCTACAGGGCCCAGGGAGCACCTGCCCCAGAGGGGGGGGTGGGGTGCTGTGGGCAGGGGGCTCCACAGGGTGGAGAAGCACAGCAGAGAGTCAGCTGGTTCACAGTAGACCATAGCCAGGGTCAAAGGACAGGAACTGCCTGCTGTAGGTGAGGAAACAGCCCAGTAGAGCAGCTTAGGGTGAGAGGGAGGGAGGGAGGGAGGGAGAGAGAGAGAGAGAGAGCTGAAAATCAGAAAAGCAGCCCTAAGAGGCGAGCAGACAGGTTGATGTGATGGAGCTGCTGGCTGGGACCAGCCTTGAATGTCAGAGTGAGAACTGAACACGCCATCCTGAGAGAGGACACCATATCAGTGCTTCTCAGCCTCCCTAAAGCTGTGACCCTTTAATTCAGCTCCTCAGGTTGTGGTGACCCCCCCCCACCATGAAATTATTTTCATTGTAGTTGGGCGTTGGTGGCTGGTGCACACCTTTACTCCCAGCACTTGGGAGGCAGAGGCAGGCTGTAGACAGAGGATTGCTAAGGGGGTTGAGAACCACTGATGTATATCTCTGGGGTGGTAGAAGTGAGGCAGGAGGCAGGAGGCAGGGCCCATAGGAGCCACAGCAGATGTTTGTCCTGGCTGGAGGGCAGCAGAGATGGAAATGCTGGGGGCTCAGCGCTGGACTCTGGGCTCCTGCTGAGATCCACTCATGTGGACAAACCAGTGCTCCAGGACCCATCAGATATGGGACTGAGTCTCCGCAAACTCCCTTCACATCCCCTACCCCAAGCCTCAGTTTCCCCAGCCATGAGGCAGGGTGAAGTCATCATTCCCAGATGTATGTGACTGACATAAAGATCATTGTCTGATGCCACCAGCCTGCCATCTGTCCCTTCAAGCTCTGAATTAGGAGCATGGGGGAAGGATTCTCTTTCTCCTTAATAATGATAAACCCTGCACTCATCACCCCATGCCCACTTACTGACTGTCCCCCAGCAGTCCCCATGAAGTAACACCCCTGCCATTCTCCCTGGGCAGAGTGAGCGGTGAAGGAATGTAAACCCACCCACCCCCCAGCCCCAACCAGAGCTCAGCATCCATTCCCCTTCTGCCCACTGATTTGGCCAGGCCCTCCCACCAGGAGGACTCACCAATTCTATTATTAGTGTGTTCTGTGGTGGATACCCGGGGCTCTGGAGGTTCCCTGGGGGTCAAAGGATTCCCGGCTGTGCTGTCATCCAACAGTGGTTGGCTCTCCAGGCATGCTGCCCCAACATTGGTACAAGTCTCCACAACTGGAGGGCTCACCGGGCTCAGCTTGTGTCCTGTGCTGGGATCTGTCGCTGACACACTTCTCTTCAGCTGCTGTGAACAAGAGTCAGAGCTGAGGCAGGGCTCCCCCAACTCCACCAAACTGCCAGGGAGACTTAAAGCTGCCGCAAGCCATGTGACAGCACGAGGCACCTGTGTGTGGCATTCCCAAGAATGTCCAGGTTTTTTTTTCCCCCATGGTTTTTTTTGTTTTTTAATTGAGGTAGTATCTCACCATATAGCCCTGGCTGACCTAGAACTTAATATCTAAATCAGTCTGGCCCAAGAACTCACAGAGACCCATCTGCCTCTGCTTCTCAAGTGCTAAATTAAAGGCGTGCGCCCAGCTGCTGTTTGTCTTCATCCATGACAGTCTCCTGTAGTCCAGGCTGGCCTCAAACCTGGTATGCAGATGAGGGTGACCTTGAACTTCATCTCCTCAACACTGATATCACAGGGTGGGGTGCTACCACGCCCAGGTTATGCCAGGCTAGGGCTCCAGCTCAGGGTTCTGTGCTTCCTAGGCAAGCAAGAACTCTACCCACTGGGCCACATCCTCGACTTACTCTGTGCTGAGCAGCCGGTCAGTGACTCACACACTTCACACTCTCCTCTTACTGCGTGTGAGCCCTTCCAAGAGTGATGTGCCATGCTCCACCACCCTGCACGGTTGTAGAATTAGCACCTGCCTCTCTCACAGATGGAGAAACTGAGGCCTGGAGGAGTGGGGTAACTCACTCAAGAGTCATACATACAGTTAGTAAATTTCTAGCCAAGGATCTAAATGCTGGAGGCTCCTCTAGGCTCATCGCCTTCCGGTGCCTCTTCACTCCCAACTGCTGGGGAGAGCAGTCTTTAATTGTGTCCTAATACAGTTTAAAAACAAAAACAAAAAACAAAAAAACCACATCTTTAGAAATGTGGTGGTTTGGTTTCTCAAGTTCATGAGTTAGTAGTGCAAAGGGAAATGAGATACCTGGAGTATGACATTTGCCTTCAGGTCTTCAAAAGGACCCAGGCTAAGGGATTCAGAGAGCAGATATATGTAATCTTGATTATTCTTTTATGATAACCTGAAGGCCAGGGCTGGCAAATATAGCTCAAAATTATAGTGTTTGCCTAGCATTCCTATTTGATTCTCAGAACAGGAAAAAGAAAACACATAAACAAACAAACAAAAAAACCCTAATTTTAGCCAGGCAAAGTGTAGGACTGTAATTCTCACATTTGGGAGGTGACGGCAGGAAGATCAGAAGTTCAAGGTTACCCTCAGCTATATAATGAATTTTCAGCCAGCCTGGGCTACATAAGACCTTGTCTCAAAAATAAACAAATAAGCAACCGGGAGGGGGGGTGGCGCTCAGTGGTTGAAAGCACTGGCTGCCCTTCCAGAGGGCCACGGTTTGGCTCTCAGCACCCACACAGTGGCTCACAGCCATTTATTTGTAACTCCAGGTTCAGGGGAGCCGAAGCACCTTTCTGGCTTCCACGGGTACCAGGTGCACAGGCATACATGCAGGAAAACATCCATACACACAAAATAAAAATGAAAAACAGAAAGAGTAAACTGAGAAAAAAAATAGCTGTTATAAAAGAAAGGCGGGGTGGGGGGGAGGGAAGCAACTTGCTCAACGGAAAAAAAGTAAAAACTGTGTGAGCCATAAGCACCTAGCACATGGCCACAGGCAGGTGCCTCATCCTTAACCCTGCACCCCTCCCCCAGTCTACCCCACCATCACATGTCCCCTAGGAAGCCTGACAAAGGACAGGCCTCCTCAAAGCCCTGCACCTGGCACACAGGGAGCCACTCTGTAAGAGGTGATGCAAGTGCCCCAAAAGGAGTCAGCTAGGGGACCAGGGTCTAGCACCAGCTCTGAAGCCCCCCCAGTACAGGCTGGGGTTCTAATAGAGCCACCAACTGGGTAACCCCTAACTTGTCTGATTGCCATTTCCTCTTTTACCAAATGTGATAAGAGTGCCAACTCCTGAGAGTCAGGACTCTCTGAGGTAACTTCTAGAAAGCATAAAGGTGTCTAGCAAGGCAGATGTGGTGGTGAAATTCACACCTGGATTTCAAGATCGGTGTGGGCTACTCGGTGAAAGCCTGAAGAGAGGGCAGGGGAGGACTGGCATGTCAGTGCCTAGCAGATGCCAACCACTCAATACATAGAGCTAACTTTGCAAGCGTTTGCTGCTGGTGTCTGTCATCCAGTTTAGAGGGCAAGCCTCCCAGAGTAAAGAGAGATAAATAACACAGCCTCCCTCCAGACTAGACTTAGTACCTCAAAGTGGCCCAAAACAAATTGCTATCTGCAATCCCTGCTGGAAATCCCCTGGGGTTGAGCCAGGAGCAGGAGGTTGCTGTGGGGTGGGGCTCTCTGTCCCTGGCCAAGCCCTAGGCCAAGCCCCTGGGCTCCTAGCTGCTCAACTTGGAACCCTGGGTGCCAGAGAAGGAGATAGCTCTCCTGCTTTCCTATGGCCCCAGCAGCCCTGAAACCACAGATCTGTAAAGAAAGAAGTCGAGCAAGAAGACAGAAGCCTGGCGAAGGTGGGTTGGGGGCTGGGGTTGAGACGACACTTACAGTTGGTTTTTTGGCAGGTCTGAAATCTGAAAGAAAAAAAAAAGGTAGTGATGTCACCAAAAAGAGTTTCATGCCCTTCCAGCATTTTCCATCTATTGACAGACAGCAAAGTAGTGATGTCATCAAAAAGAGTTTCATGCCCTTCCAGCATTTTCCATCTATTGACAGACAGCACCCTAGGATTTCAGTGAGGTTCAGGCTTGCCCACACCAGGGCTCAAATCCCCAGGCTGGCAGTAAATCCTTTCAGGATGAGCCTCTGGCAAGCCTAAAGCTAGTCTCCGAAGCAGGAGTGCACTGGGGCCTCGCTTCCACAAGTCAGAAGAGCCCAGGCTGCAGTCCTGGAGGACACTCCTGCTCTGTCTGCTTTTCTTCTCTTTGTGCCAGCCTGAGGTGGCATTTGAGGGCTCTGGAGATGCCTGGGCCACAATTCTCAAGGCCCAACCTTTCTCTGTTCACCTCAGTCACCCCCACCAAGACATTCACCCCAGTATCCTTTTGTCTTAAATAAAGACCAGCTACCCAAGAACATGGTGACATTTAACCATAGCTCACCAGACACCTGAGAAAGGAGGAAGTGGCCACATTACCAAGCCCAACTTAACACAAGCTAGCCCAGGCCCACATGGGGACAGAGTCATTACGGATTCCCAGCAGGCCACCTAGGGACCCTGCGATGCCAATCAGGTTCACACTGACAAGGCAACCATGCCAGGAAAGGCTAGCATGCAGGATGGGCTGCTTCTAGAACATGCTCTCTGACTTAGCAGCTTGACCCTGAATGCTAGTTGACATGCACACAGCAGAGTAACTGACAACAAACAGAACTGTCACATGGCCACTGCAGTTTGGGATGAGCTTTTAGCAGCCTGGCAGGGAAATGGGTTAGAGGGATGGGCTGCGTGATGCTCAGAACAGCTCTCTCATAAAATGGCATGACCAAGTCTCAGGTTAGCAAATGTGCCTTGCTTATGTAACCTGGTAACCACTGTCCCCAGTAGAGTGGTCACTTCAGGAAGTCGTGGCTTGGTCTCTTGAGGTGGCTACTAACCACCAAGTCCAAGCCACTGACACTTCAGGTACTCTCTGGCTTGAGACACAAGTTCTGCTTGATGGGTCTGGATTTTTAAAAATTTTTATTGTTCTCTGTGTATGAGTGTTTACCTGCACCTGTGCTCATTTGTGCAGCATGCACATGCCTGGTGCCCAAGGAGACCAGAAGAGGGTATTGGATACCCTGGAACTAGAATTGCACAGTTGGGAGCCCCCATGTGGTTTCTGGGAATTGAATCCCAGTCCTCTGGAAGAGCAGCCAGTGCTCTTAACCACTGAGCCATCTCTCAGCCCATGGTTTGCTCATTTTATTTGTTTGATTGTCGTTTTGTGGGACAGGGTTTAATGAGCTATTTTAAAAGTGACATCAGTGAAACGAAATTTTTGTCCTTTGGAAGCAATCTTGAGTTTTGCAATCAGCCAACTGGCATGTGGTGCCAAGTCATTGTGGGAACCTGGAGAAGAAAAAAGTGTGTGCTGAAGTAGCGAGAAAACAAACAAAAGGTGCTCAACTCTGTCTTGAGAAAGAAGTAGGTGAGCTAGAGGCTGGGAAGCTGTAAGTAGGCGCCATCTCTTTACAGGGCCTTCTGGCTAGGACCCTTGGTGTCTTTGAACCAGGGGACCCTCCTAATAGGGACCACACCCTCAGGAAGTCACACTAATGAAGACAAAAGCAGGAGTATTTATAATCCAAAGCTGAAAAGACGCCAAGTGACAAACAATAGTGTGGCTGAGCCAGTCAGCCCAACACCACCTTGGAGGAAACCAGCTGTACTTCACAGCTCTAAGACTCAGCCTTTCTATCTGGGAAATGGGACAGACCTGGCCAGATTCAGAGGGGTTTAGGAAGACAGGATGGAGATCTCAAAACAGCAGAAAAGGCTGGGGGTGGGCAGGATTAGTGGGAGAGCCATTGTCTGCTAAATGTGAAGGCCAGGACTCTGTTCCCAGTGCAAGCATGTGTATACACACACACACACACACCATACACACCACACACACACACACACACCATACACACCACACACACACACACCACATACAAACACCACACACCATATACCATACACACCACATACAAACACCACACACCATACACACACACACACACCACACACACACACACCACATACATACACCACACACCATACACACACACACACACTCACAGAGTAAAATTTCTGTGATAAGCCATCTGGAGAACAGGCTGTGATGAGCATGGCTTTGTGCTCTGTGTTTTTCCTCCTCCAAATCCAGCACCTTGGTCTCATGGTATAAAATAAATGTTAGACAAGTCCCAGCAGGGGAAATCCTGTAAAATGTCTGATCAGTGTTGTCAAAGGCCACTTAGGTCAAAAGGAAGTCTGAAAAACTGTTACAGACTGTGAAGCTTAAGGGTCCCTGGCACCGTAAGGAGAGGTTAGGAGCCCCACTGCTCCTGCAGAGGGTCGGAATTGGTTCTCGGCACCCATATGGCAGCTTACAACATTGAAACTCCCATCTCAAGGGATCCAGTGCCCTCTTCTGGCCTTAGTGGGTACCACGCATGTGGTACAGTTACATACATGCAAGCAAATGCTCATATGCATTTTTAAAAAATTAGAACATTACTGTTTATTTATTTAACTGTGGTAACTGTGCCACCCCAACATAAGAGGTCAATAATAAAATCAGCTGGCCATGGGCATGCTGGAACTCCATTATTTTCTCAGTTTGGGGAAGGGAGTAAGACAAGGTGGTCTCCAACTGGTACCTGAGGATGACTTTGAACTCCTGATCCCACTGTTGCAAGTGCTGCTATCCCAAGTGTGTACCATCACATCTGGCTTTGAGACAGCTTCTCACTATGTAGCAAAGGCTGGTATGACTACACAGAGATCCACCTGCCTCTGCCTCTGCCTCCCCAGTGCTGGGGCTCCAGGGGTGAACCATCATGCTTTGTAATGAGTTGTGGGGACTGTCCTCTCTTCTGGAGTCCTTCCAGGCCATCTCTCCACCTAGCGAGTACACTGACTAAGCCAGCCTGGTTCCCAGTTGCAAACTTCTACCTTGGGGCTGTCCTGCCTCCCTGAGCTGCTATGGGATTCACAGGGAGAGCTCAGGGAGGGAGCGAACAGAGTTCTTTTATCCTGACATTCTTCTAAAAAGTGAAGTCTCCAGCCAGGGCACACACACCTTTAATCCCAGCACTCTGCAGGCAGAGGCAGGTGGATCTCTGTGAGTTCAAAGCCAGCCTGGTCTACAGAGTGAGTTCCAGGACAGTCAGGGCTACACAGAGAAACCCTGTCTCAGGGGGGAAAAAAAAAGTGAAGTCTCTTTAGAACTTTTTCAAGTTAAATTATTACCAAAGGGAGGTCCTGAGGACACCTGTGTGAAGCCCTGGATGATAATACAGCTTAGACACTCTATGGCAGGAGAAAGGAAATACAGATTCTAACTCTCAGAAACAAGCAGGCACTAACA